CACTGTAACATTAAAGACGACCAGGACGCCAACAGTGCCATCCTCTATTCTCGGCAGCCATATGTCTTTCAGATGTTCGAGGGCCCTTAGCTGCTCTTCGGCAGGGTATTGTTCGTTGAGTATAGTTGAGAACAATACTTTTCTCCATCTCGTTTCCCAGTACTAACTTCGGCAGTCGTGGGGAACTTTCCGTTGCATCGGAGATTCGTTTACCAATTCTGATGATTTTCCCTATGTGATCTCCATTCGTTTTTTCTGGAAGTATTTCACGGATCTTGGAACTATCTCTAGATCATCAGCATGTCGAGCGGCTGGATCTACCTTCTTCGGTTCCTCCAAGTTCCAAATTAATATACTGTAATTTGAGTCCGAAGGTTTAACAATCTTATTAGTGTTTATGGCCGTTGAGACCTTATCATTAGCACCGTGTTTTCACTTGCCTATAATTCTTGAGCTTCCTGTTTTTCGGCACTAACCAAGTGGAATCAGTTGGTTCCACTGTACTGTCTCCGCAGTCGGAAGCCGTGCATTCACCAGACATGCAGCGCTTCATCGTTTTGTTATCACCTTGCTGTCTTACAATGTTGACACTGTTTGCCCTCCTAGATTTTCGGGGCCTTTGTGTGCTGTTGTAGACTTCTGGGCACACTTTACCTCTGTCGCGTTTTTCGAAGTTCGGTGATGTGGTTCTATCCCAGTCTTATGACTCAGGTCAGAATCCTCATTTATGACACCGGTACTGTATGCTGACTTTTTCCCTCATATGAGGCTTTTGTTATTTTCTTCGACATGAGAAGTCCTACGGTCTCTCGGATGGGGACGTCCAATGGTTCAGTACAAAGTTTGCATACCCACGGAGATGATGGATTCTCTCATCTCCTATAGACTGATGGTGATGAACCAGTGCAAACTTTATGAACCCACAGGCTGCAATTATCACAATGCATCCCATCATCCACCGAAAAGTGGCAGTCCAGTCGTTCATAAGTGTTTGCGAGACTCATGTCAGCATAAGTTGTTTAAGTTACACGGACAAACATGTGTATATAAAACTAAACACAGAGATTTAAAAACCACACAAAAGTCACAAAAGCGAACCCAAAAATCATACTTCAACTAATTATGCTAGTTAAAGTACACCAAAAAGCTTGCGATGCGATTTATACAACAAAAACAGAAGTTACTTTACAACGTAAAAATACCACTCTTTCCGAAGCGTGCGCTTTGTGTAATTAAAGTTAGTAATCTCAGGAAAACTCAGGGAAGCTGAGCTGTTTAGGGGTACGGCCCATTTAGCGGAAGAGAGACATAATAAAAAATGTAAGAAATAGAAGAGGGTGTATCACCTCCTGAAGCTTCAGAGGTAAAAGAAGCACAGAATGCCCAAGTATCTGTTGCTGCAAAGGGTAAAAATGGGTAAGTAGTGCCAGAATGGCAACACCAGCCTGTGAAAGGGCCACGCCAAAGCGCAGCGTGTCTAGTGTACGAATGGCTTCCAGTCGCGGCGAAAACAGAGTGGAAGAAACCGACTCCACTTGGTTGGTGCCGAAAAGTAAGAAAAAAATAAACGTAAGAAAGAAACACTAACCGAGTTTACCAACATGGTCTCGACGATTGTTTGTACCAGCCAAACTCAGAAACCCACGGACTCTAGTTACAGTGTTACCATCTGGAATTCGGAGGAATCTAAGAACACAGATCCAGCTTCTCGACATGCAGATGATCTGAAGGCGGTTAGCTCCATTATCCGGGAAATACTTCCCGAAAAAAAAAATTGGAGTTCACATAAGAAAGGCCATCAGGATCGGAAAACGAAACCTTTATGCGACAGAAACTCCTCAACGACCACTTATGATAGTTTTAGGTAACAAAACAGAGAGGAGCACCATCCTCAACAACGCGTTGAAAATCAACGATAAAAGTTTGAAAATAAGGCCAGATTGGCCTTTGGAAGATAGAATCAAAGGAAGAGAAGCCGTGGCATAACTAAAGGCCAGGCCAGAGAAAGGCGAAAAAGACCTCAAGCTAATGGGTTTTCGGGTGGTGAGGTCTCGGAAACGATGCTGCCAAGACCTCTCTTGATAAGCCGGACGAACACAAAGGTGTTTCGTTGTGCTACACGAACGTATGTAGTCTTAGGAACAAGCTCGCCGAATTAGGAGAATTATCTGAAAGACTACAACCTGATGTGATTGCTAAAACTGAGATATGGTTGTTAGGGGGTGTAGACTTAACTTCATTCATATCTGGGTATATCCGCATACGAGCAGACAGAGTAAGTAGTCGGAAAGGTGAGGGTGTTGCTCTATACATTCGGGATGACATAGGGATCAGGTCAACGTTGTCAGAAGCTCATGATAGCGTCACCAGTGAAGCCTCAAGTTGCGTCATTAACTTGAACAAAGGCACTTTAACAATCGGAGTTATTTATAGAAGTACTGCTGGCCAAGCTGATGACTTCTTTCTAAATCACTCGAGAGCGTGGGGCAGTAGAAACAGATGTCTGATTGTTGGCGAATTTGATGCTCTACATATTAATTGGGTGAATCAGCTCCACTAGTTTGTATAACTGTTTCAATGGGGCGCTCACATTGACAGTGCTTGAATGTGCACTCGTGCAACATATGCATGCACCAACAGGGTTTCACCCTGAACATGATCCATCTACTCTAGACTTGGTATTAACACACCAGAAGGAAGACTTTGGCAACATTAGGTGCCTTCCGCCGCTTGGTAGCAGTGACGACATAGTTATTTTTATTTACGTTTAAGATTCATTCTCTCATACACAGGTCAAATTCTGCTCGTCCGAACATTTGGAGAGCGGATATACAAGGGATCCGGAACGCAGCAACTGCCGTTGACTGGTCATTTGATACAAGTCTGACTGTCGAGGAAGCTTGGGTAGGATTTAGGAATACACTGGAATGTAATACTCCACCTTTTATACCTTGGCACACTCCTCGAAAGCTATCGCATAAGCCACCTTGGATCACTGGTGAAATAGGGAGGCTACTAAAACGGCGAAAGAACTTATGGGACCAGTTTGTTATGACAGGAAGGGAAAACTTCCAGAAAGACTACCGTAAAATTCGAAACCTCTGTAAGTATGCGAATAACAAGAGTACAAGAGACGGCTAGTACTAGATTGCGTTCATTACCCTAAAGGGCTTTACTCGTATATTAAACGTAGGACTAAAACTAGCAGTGGTATACCATCACTTATAACCATTAGTGGAGAAGCGGCTGAGTCAGACGAAGGAAAGGCTGAAAACCTCTCTTAATACTTCTGTCACGTCTTCTCGTCTGATAGTACCACCCAGGGACATGGCGAGGTCACTGCCATCGCCACTCAGATGCTCTCAATTGTGGTAGACCACACAGAGGTCCTCAAACTACTGTCTAAATTGAAGCCAGGTAAATCACCTTGGCCGGATGGACTCCACCCTAAACTGTTAATTTCCTTGGCAGATATAATATATATTCCGCTTACGGAGATTTTCCAAATGTCTCTGATGCAGGCCAAGTTACCCGGGGACTGGAAAGATGCCATTATATGCCCTATCTACAAAGAGGAGGATAGACAATTGGTATCCAACTACAGGCCGGTAAGTCTGACATGCATTATTGCAAAGGTATTAGAAACTATTTTAAGGGATCAGCTAATAGCTTATGTTGAAACACATGGCTTGTCGCCGTGGAATAGCGTGAATTCCGACCAGGACGATCCTGCCTGACAAACCTACTATTGGCTAGGGAAGACTGGGTTGAGGCCAGAGATAATAACCTTCTGTTGGACGTGATTTTTATTGACCTTGTCAAGGCATTCGACAGAGTATCCCACTTGGGTCTCCTTAGTAAACTTAAGGGTTTCGGACTAGACCAATGCCTATGTGAGTGGTTTAGAGATTACCTAATGAATAGAAGGCAGAAGGTTAGAGTTAACGGTGTACTATCAGGATGGAAAGCAGTATCCAGTGGAGTGCCCCAGGGAACTGTATTAGGCCCCTTGCTATTCCTATTATACGTTAACGAATTACCAGGGATTCTTATTTCATCTTCATTAGTGTTTGCAGACGACATTAAGATATGGAAAACTGTAAATAATAACGAGGATAGGTCGGGCCCACAAACTGATTTAGATAAATTAGTTGAGTGGTCAAGCCTATGGAGTTTGGAAATGAATGCTAGGAAAAGCGCGGTAATGCACTTAGGTCAGAAGTCGTATACGTCGTACTCCCTAGGCGACACATAACTACCTGATGTTAACGAACAGAAGGACCTAGTAATCATTGCCATCAATGATTTGAAAACAACTGCAAATTGCGATGCAGCCGCAGCTAAAGCTTTCAGAATGCTATGGGCACTTCGAAGGGCTCTCAAACGATTAGACGAGGGCATGTTCCAAATACTCTACACAACATATGTCAGGCCTCATCCAGAATACTGCACACAAGCGGCGGGGCCATGCTTCAAAAAGGAGGCACATATTCTGAAAAGAGTACAGAGGGTAGGAACAAAATTAGTTAGTGGTATATTACACCTTTCTTATGATAAGAGAATGGAGCATTTAAATCTGTTCCCGTTATCATAATGAAGGAGGAGAGGTGACTTAATTTTAACATACCGTATTTTTTATTTTATTTTTGATTACAGCTTGATTCCACACTGTATTTTTGGTACAAGTATGGAATTTTCAGCGTGGATATCGGTAGCCCAAATTTCGCAGGCCGACCATAGATATCAGGTGTGCGTCGGCATGGGATCGAACTCCGGACCATGTGCATGGTCTTCGAGAGTCCTAACCACTGTGCCACCGACGCACAGCTTAAGGGGGATTTAGGAACTGACCTTTCTAACCTTTCCCCCACTCTAGGATACATTTACGGGGTCACTGCAAAAAGGTGCTCAAACCGAGGACGATTAAAAAACGTGCAGAATTTAGATTCTCTCACAGGGTGGTCAAGGATTGGAACTCCTTACCTGATTCAGTAGTATCAGCTCCATCCGTGGACGCTTTCAAAGAGAAGTTAGACTTATGCAGAGGTATATTTTGCAAGGATTAACACAGGCCACGAGAGCCTTCTATCATTATCATCTGAATCTGAACAAGTTTGTATCCCTTAAATTGATAGTTGTAGAAAGGCGCGAGATTTCATTTTGTTTCGATCTTAGTTTTGCTTAGTCTACTGAAAAGATTAGGAAATGACGCTAAATGACACGGAAGTTCAGCGTCAGGTACACACATTAAGATAATATTCATTTCAATTTAAAGATTCGTCACATGATGGCCTTCATAGACCAAGAGGCTCGAGAAAAAGTTGAAGAAATAGATGCTAAGGTAAAATTTTTTTACCCCCTATTGTAATTCTCTGAAGGCTGAAGAAGAATTCCAAATAGAAAAGTCACGCTTGGTACAAAATCAGCGTCTCAAAATAATGGAGTACTATGCTAAAAAAGAGAAGCAAATTGAGTTAACTAAAAAAATGTGGGTTCATTTTTCTTTTTCTAACTTTTCCATTCAGTCAAGATTCGAACTTGAAAAATCAATCCAGATTAAAGGTTTTACAGAGCAGAGAAAATCATATCGAGGTATTTGGTTTACTTCTAATTAAATCTGTAGATGTTACTCAAAGAAGCTCGTGAGCGTTTGCGAACAGTCACCAAGGATCAAAATGTTTATCAGAAATGCCTTGCTGGATTAATTACAGAAGTAATAACCTTTAGTATGAATGTATCGTATATGCTTTATTTTGAATACAAAACTAGATGCAGGCTAGGTACATCTTATTTTCATATGCTCACTCTGAGTCTTTATTTTTTCACCTCAAACAGGATTCCTCTTCTGTATATTATACCCTTAGAAATATCTGTTTATCTGTGATTATACCGATTCCCGTAATTTTTCTGTCTGAGGTAACCTTGTCATGGTAGAAGTGACTCTGGCTTAAACATTTTATTAATTTTGCAGGTGTTATATGTAATACGATTATAGTGAGACTATAAAATGATGTAATTCCATAATTTCCCTCTCCCGAACGCCTTATTCAGATTTAAATATCTGAATCAGGAATCTTAATCCTTTTATCTAAATGTTACGAAATTTTTGACACCGCTGAGGATGTATAGGCGTTAGTAGTTAGTGTGAAGCATTTCATTCCCAGGTTCCTCTGCTTTATATTAATTTCAAAAAAACCATAGACGTATTGCTTGAACTGTGTGGAAGAGTCTAGCGGGTATTGTGTAGATAGTTTGCATAGTTTTCCACAAAATTATCGTAATACTCCAAGTTAATTCGTTCATTTTTATTCCTTTGCGTTCCCAGTGGAACATGGGGCTTCAAGCTAGAGCTTTGAAGTTTCAGTAGCAGTGGTATTTATTTTTACTGGACGGGGTTACCAGCCTCAAGCCCAACCTTCCCTTTACACCAGTATTGTAACTGGCTTAGCGAGCGAGATAAAAGAATGAGTTGGACGGCAATCGAACTCCGACCCACTTGCATGGTTGGCGAGCATCCTACCGCTGTGCCACCAAAGCATATGCGCATGATAGTTGCTCGAGTAAAAAGAAAAAGTAACCCTTCAGATACGATGATTATTTGTGTTTATTGTGGGAGGAAGCGAGGATTGTCTTTCTATACTTAGCCTTTATAGGATTAGAATGAAAAGCGTTTGTAGTTAGGCGTGGCACCAATCCTTGAATTCATTGAGTGTTGGTTCGAGCTGCAGACAGATGTGAATTGTCTAGGTGTGTTTTTCTAGATTCTAAAAATCAGTGGTTATTTTTGGTAACACGGTTCAAAATCGCGTATGCATTCACTACTAATGATTTTCGTATATTTCTCGTTGGCGTACATTTTCGTTTGTCGCAGTTTGCTTGTATGCCCTATTTCTACGTTTGTTCGATTCCATGAAATTTGGATTGGCGGAGTTTTGTGCAAAGTTCCACGTTAAGAATTCAGTTCATTTCAACTGCTTTTAACTAACGGGTCTCTAGGCATAGCATATTGCAGTTGTGCTATGCAGGCATATTATTTTATGTAGAGCTGTAGCTGGTCTAGGTGTACAAATTCCAACCAGTGGGTTACAGTTTTGAAACCCACTCCACCTACCGAGGTTTGGGCAGCTAGACAGTATCACTATCCCTTTCACAATCTATGTGCCTCATTACTAACTGTATAGAATTGCAAGTGGTTTTTGAGCAACAACATTTCATGTGCTATCATTAGGTTTAATGTATTTCTACGTATGTTCTATGTAAATCAAGCTGAATTCACAAAGTTTCCACGCATCAGTGAATTCATCTAGCACAGTGCTTTTATTTAGTCATGTAAATTGTTTGACATTTATATATAGGCTGCACATTTGAGCAGAAGAAATAAGGTGGCATCATGAGACGTACAGGTAAGAATGAAGTTGGTGGTTAGGTATTAGTTAAAAAGGTACCACGTGTGGGGTGTTCATAAACATTTTTACTGATTAGGTTCAGCGTAGAACTTTGCACAGATGTACAGCAGTTCGAGTTGCCACACTCCATATAGCACACGAAGCAAGAGAAAAGAGATTCAAAAGAGAGATAAATAGAAGAATGAAGCAAAAGGAATAGTAATGTGGAAGAACAATAGAGTTTTATTGGGTATGACAGATCACAAAGAGTAAATGCATCTGCCCCAGCCATTAAGAACGACTTGGAGCCATATCACCAATTGTCTCTAGCCACTGGTTTTTAGCATCCCAAGAACCCCACCCAGTTAGGAACTCTACACCTCCCTACGTGGCTGGTTTAAACTAACTTGTGGATTTCATTTACCGATGAAGGCATGTTTTCGTTTGACCACCATTAGGTCTTCCAATCTGATTCTATGTCAATCAGTTAACATTTCCCGTCGAGGAAGGCGATAACTAGGCATGCATAACACATGTCCTAGCCATCTCAATCGATGTAACTGCTTCACAACCTCGTTGATTGATTTCCTCTCCTTATGCAACACTCAACGTCTTACCTCACTATAGCTCACCTTATTACACCACCTAAAAAACATTTTACTGTTACGTTTCAAGTATTTGTTGTCTAAACTGAAGTTTAGGCGAATTGCACTCGGATAATTTGAAAAAAACTAGTAAGTTGCCGAAATATAGGACATCTTGCGGTGTTGCTTTCCGAAATAATCTATAGCCTGTTTGTTGAGTCATTTAAACAAAATGTGGCAAGTCACCTAACTACTTTACATCATCCTTAAAATTGTTTTTGTATCAAAATTATTTCTAGGGTCTTTATCAGTTATTGGAACCGGACGTCATAATAAGATGCCGTCAGGTGGATCGCGATCTTACGCAGGTATGTTTTTTTTACTACATCAGGACTTGCTGCTTTAGTGTAAATTTAGCAGTAGGACCTCATTGTTTTTATTGCCTACAGCTTTCATCTCAGTATATATATATATATATATATATATGTATATATGTTTTAAGTCAGTTTGGTTTCACCTATTTATAGCGATTTTGTTTCCACGAATTTTACCACCACCAAAATTTTCAATTACCTAAAGGCCCCCATAGATGACCTGGTGCGGCCGAGATTGGGTAGGCTTCCATCCTTCTCTGGAAACACTTTGGTGTGGTTACTCGTCCATAATTCTGTTCACCACCTTCACCCTGTGGGATGCGCCTTTCAAAGGTCAAATGACGCATGTGTACATCTGGGGCTTGCAAGTGTACTGGTGGACATTCTGGTTTGCCCATGGGAGCTGAGAAACCCTGATTCTAAACATGTGGTGGATTCAGAGTCTGGAGGAATCAAATAGCGTATAAGCCTGTCTTTGTCAGCCACTTGACAACTTCATTTATTGTCCTCTTCAACAGCCTGTGTAATGCCAATATTACTTACGAAATTGGCAAGTGGTTGAACCTGATTTCCTCAAGTTTCTGATATAAAGTAACATCTTGCCGGAGGTAAAATGGATGCCAAGCATATTTGAAGTTTTCTTAGAGTTTTCAGAAGAGTATTTCGTTAGCGTCTACTCCATCTCGCAGGGACTATATCGTCAACCTACCCTGTTAGGAAATATAGTCCGTTAGAAGTCGCCATCAAATAGACTGTCATGAGTATTAGAAAATCAAATTAAAAAAAGGTCGAATGGATGACTTGTTCCTGACGCAAACAACCAGTTGTGGTGACTTCTGTTAATATATCTCTGTAGGCTCTTACACAGATCCATGGGCTTGACTTAAAGAATCCTGATGAATACAAATACTTTCCTAAAACTGCTTCCACACTCAAAAACCACCTTATCGATGTAGTTTTATCCCACTTGCTAGTTAAGAAATATAGTAGTTTAGAGCCTTTTATTTTCGTGATAATAAACTTGTTGAGTGTGCAGATGTATTTCAGTTCCATGTCACCAGCTTTTCGTAGCTGTTGATCTATCTTAATGTATAATTATATGCGATTTATCGTCTTCAGTATGCCACTGTCATTTCCGCGATTAATTCTCAATACTTAGTTTAAATGTTATTTTTTACATCATTTAGGAAATTAAAATTTGATAGCTGTTTTTGGTTGTATTTTCAGAGTCTTCTACCAGGATGTATTGCTGCCTATCGAAAAGAAACTGGAAGTGATTGCAAAGTTGTAATAGACAACAATTATTTACCTGATAGCCTGTAAGTACCTAATATATGTTTTTACTCTCACTCTCAATGTGCGTATTTATGTATTTCTGTTTGGTAGGTATGGTGGTCAAAGTGGAGATGTAGTTCATTAGCTTAAGAAATCGACTTTCAGTCGACTGGGCTTACGCTGGAATCCCATCTGGGCAAACTGGGTAATAGTGTCGCCAGCATCCACACAATCTATTTAGCTCGTATTAGTTAGGAACATGAGAAATCCGTCCTGAGATATTCCCTAAAGTTGAATGTCAAAAATTTCGCTAAGTGATTTGTTCATTTACGCGTTAATCTAAACAGTTCAAAGTCCCCTTGCTTATGGTTTCCTTGAAAATACAGTTTGTTTATATGGTATATGATTGGGAATTTCACGACCAACTCCTACAGCATTAAATTGCTCATAAGGTTTTCCACATAAAGTGGAATTAAGCTCACCCAATATGGTTCTAGTCCACTCCTGCAAGCGAATTTCGTCAACGCACATTCAATATGAATTCAACTTACACGAAATTGACTTCCTGTACTTGATAGTCTAGAATAGTGCGAGGAAACGTGATCAAGTTACTTTATATGTATATACTACCAAGCTAACTAAGAGGAGTGTTACGTGCCGATGACCAATGGCTTTCAGTTGCACCATGCATATAGCGAATTGACAGATCAGGTCTCAGTGGTTGAGAACGGTCTAAAAGCTAGCACTGCAACGGGAAAGTCCAGTGTCCTAACCCTGGTGGATGCGTACTATTGAAGAGTCCCAAACTAAGATGAAACAGCTACCAAGTACTCCTAGGTTTTCATTGTTCCTCTACCTTATATCATCTCGTGATCAAACCTGTAATGAAGCGGATTGCTGCAAACCGACACTTGTAAACTTCTATTATGCAATGTTTAATTCTGCAATATCCACTGAGTCCTGAGTGTCTGGTTTCAACACAGGACTCTGCATAGAAGTGCAGCGGTTTGAGTTATCACACTTCATATATATCCCACAAAGAAAGACACAAGAGAAAAAGTAGATCCTAAAGAACAATAATAAGCATAAATTTGAGGGATAAAAGGTATCACCATAGGAAAAAAATAGGTTTTTATTAGACCATACACGTGGTCCGAAGTTCGATTCCGTGCCGACGCACACCTGATATCTGAGGTCGGCCTGCAAATTTTGGGCTGCCGATATCCATGCTGAAAATTTCATACTTGTACTAAAAGTACTGTGGAATTCAAGCTGTAAATGAAAAATAAAAAAAAACAACCAAAAATATAGCAGATCACAAAGAGCGAATGTATCTGCGCCAAGCATTGAGAACGATTCAGAGCCATATCACCAGTTGTCGCTGAGTCCTACTCTTCAATAAATATGCTACCTTGTCCACCCATCTTCCAGTTGTGAACTGATGGTGATATGTAAATAGCTCATGGCTTCTGAAGTGTATTCTTCAAATCCCTTTAAGAGCTTATCCTCCTCAGTCCGTACTTGGCAGCAGTGTGCATATGCATTTCGTAAAATTCTTCAGTTGTTGCGGTCTATGCTATTGTCATTAACGTGTGCTTATCCTGAGCTGCGTGCGTTAATAGATATATGGAGCTTATATATCATTGTGTAATTGTAATTATCAATGCAATGTAATGTCTTCGTGACTTTTTTTGAATTGATTACTAATCATAATCTCTATACGTTTTTATTTTTGTATAGAGCTGGTGGAGTTGAGTTGTACAATAAAGATGGACGTATTAAGGTGGTGAACACGCTAGAGAGTCGTTTAGATCAGATTAGTGAACGTTTAATGCCGAAATTACGAGAAATTTTATTCGGAGTAAATGAAGGACGAAAATTCCATAATTAAACTCATTATTACCATTATCATAATGCCCATCTTATTTAACACTGTGTTACAAAATTGTCTGTTTCACAGACAATTAAAACCCCATAGCATAATATTATTTATGATCTTTTTTTCTTCCGATGATGCCTGTGTTTATGCATTGTCTGACTACTTGATTTTTCCCTATTATTACTGTATTCTTTACTATAAATATCATAATGGTTATTTGTAATTACAATATAAGGTGTATGATTCTAAGCTGTAGTCCTTTCTGCGCATGTGTGTGTCGCTTCGACATGAACTGTACTTTGTTTCTGTAGAAATCTTGTGATATGACTTGACTGACTAGAGACAATGGTGTCTGGCTGGTGGTTAGTGGTTTAAAATGATGAGTTAGATAGCCGCCTCTACAATACAATTTGGAAGACAAGGTTTCTGGAGATATGATTGAAAACGAAAACTTTTTGTACTTATGAAAGTGTGCAGGTGGTTGTTACTTCCTGGCTACCCCAACCATAGAAGCTGAGTTTTCTTGAAGTATCCCCAAAACATGAGCGTAACGTGACCACCGAGTTCGGGAGAGGCAGATCACACGCGGCTTATAGGAACAGTTTTCGGAGTTGTGTTCGTTTGAACACCATACAACCGTCTACGGATCACTGCATGATATGTCGAGATGTACAGATTTTTGGGTCAATATTTTAGACCTTCCTATGATGCAGAGCGGGGATGGAGCAGCATAGGTGGCTTGCAAGCCATTTGATGGAAGCATCTAAATGCTTTCGCACTTGTATTCGTCAACAGTGTAGAACTTCTACCTCAGACCCCCAGCCCTCCAAAATCATGCAGACGATTCACACTATGAGGGTTGTTGCTTTTAGTCTAACAGCAACTGAAGCCAATTTGCCATGGTAGAAATCGCAGGAAGTTTCATGTCAACCATTGCAGCTCATTGCGATATATAAGCCCTAACAGAAAGTCATGATAGTAGCTATTGTGGTCGGGAGCGATATGATGAGAAAGAAATGTACATATTTGGCCGTTGACCCTATCTTTTGACAACAACAGTGACAGCGATTTTACAAGGTCATATCAGGCATGGTAATGATATCTGGTGAATCCTCACAGACTGATGGATCAGGGAACCTTGTGTACGCTATATATCTCATGCATGTACTTGGATTGCATCTCTTGAGATTCTGATGCAATGAAATCTGATGTGGAGAATGAGCAGTTTGATGGGTGGACAGGATTTCTCGTCAAGGGTTGACTGAGAGTTGTCGACTTACTCCTGGATAAGAGTGATTGTATAGCGTCTTACAGTGGAGATTGAAGAACTGCGCTGAAGATGTCGTCCAGAAAGACGATGAAAGCTCCGCAATTAAACCAAGGAGCTCAGAGAACACTATCAATTGCAGATTGAAGAACTACCTAGTCTTCAACCGTTTTCTAGTTGATATGAGTTTTAAGTGAAAAGTATCTTGGGAAGTCGATTTCCGCATAACGTTTTGTGATATTATAAATGCTAATGCCAGTCTGTTCTCATTTATGTACCGGGTTGTTATGGTGGCTTTATTCCAGACACAATTTGTTATTATTTTACTCCCTTGGGTTCCGAGTGGGACATAGAGCTTCGACAGCACATCCCCATTTTATCTGCTTAAGCTGGTCTCACGATTTCCCATAGTGTCTCATCTCCTCCATGTCACTCTCAGACACCCAAGTCGTCGTTTCCCTTTCGCATTCCACTCGAGGGTCTGGCATGCGCTGTCACCCAGTGGTCTCTTCAGCACTTGTCCAATCCATTTCCTTCTGCATATTCGTTGAGCAATAGGTTCTTGGTTGGTTCGTTCCCAGTTTCTTGTTGCTAATTCTATTTGGCCATTTAATCTTCAATATAGAGCGAAGACAGCTGTTGAATGCGCGCGCCAAGTTTTTGATCCACATAGAAGAACTGACTTAAAATTGATGTTGAAAATCCGACGTTTGTTCTTTATAGTAAGCACAAGAGATTTCCGAACCGATTTCAGAGTGATGGAGGTCTGTCTCACCTTTGCTATCCTGACTGGTTTTGACGTCCTCATCCTTGCCAACTTCTTGTCGTTGAAACGATGCTTTCTAGATAGGGGAAGGAGGTGACCTCGTTCAAATTTACTCCGTTAATAGTGATTAATGCCTGTTGTTGTGGTCGGTTGATAATTTTCATCATCACGATCTTCCTTATGTTCAGTTGAAGTCCTGTCCTCGAGTTTGTGTGACATTAAATGATGATTTATGTCTAGATTCCTCTTATCGGTTCAGCGTGCTCCTGTCTCCCCGTTTCCCACAGTGTGATGCATAATCCAGTTCACCACAATTAAGACTATCATCGTTGGTGACGGTAGGCAGTCTTTTTCTCACCCCTGTCTTCACTTCCGAGACTTCGCTGGATTTTCCGTTGTGGATCATTTGACACGTGCCATTGTCATATAGATTGTGAATGAGGTTGAGGTTTGTGTCAAAGTAGTTTCCAAATTACTTCGCTGTCGAAGGTCTTTTCGTAGTTGATGAAACTGAGGTTGGGAGGTCTGATTGCCATTCTATTCTGTGTTCGATGACACAACTTATGGCACAGTGAAATTTTCAGTTACTTGTCCCTTGCAACTGTGTCACTTTAATCGATATATACGAACGACATTACTTAAGGTGAACTGTTTCATTCTCTCTTCAAAGCGTAAAAAGACAGGTTAAATGCGTATCACATTGAATCATATAAGTCGATTGCCTACTGTTTGCTTAACAAATAATGTGCATAAAAAGGATGTTTGAAGAGCTTTCCTACTTCATATGGGATGATACAAAGCGAATGTTGAACGTAAAAACCTCACTTTTCAACATTTACCACTATTGGTCCAACTACCAGATGAACAGAAGTCATACGGTAAGATTGTAAATCTCCACCAGACTCTGTGTAGAATTTTCCAACTTATGTCGTCTCTCGCATACACGCAACATTCAGTTATTGATCAAAGCGTGTATATACTGCGCTCCCCCCTTCACGCTGTTCCTTTTTACATCTGTGAGACATTGCCACTGAATGGTTAGCTTTCTTTGAACATAGGGTTTTGAGTTCTATTCCCTTTATGAGTGTCGGTCAGTAATATTGAGGTTAGGCATAAAGTATTGATTAAGAAGAGGAAGTCAGTCGATACGGTTGTGAAACTACATCGATCGATATGGCTAGGGCTAATAATGAACATGTCTGTGGTGAGAGTTAACTGTTAGTCAAAATTGGTGGACAGTAATTTACGTCAATGTTTATGTCCCCAATATTGGTCCCAGTCTGCTAACCTCAAGCATCTTGACCGCCTCAAGCAGGTATTAGCAGAAAAGAGATTCCCGACTGACCCCAATAAATATGTAATTGATTATTCTTGCGTCATTCTTTCTGAAATTCAACTACAAGCCCTATCACTGGGCCCCATATTCTGCAACAGTTCATCCAAAGTCAACAGATTGCATACTCAAGTGCAGTCTGAAAATCTTATTAATCAGACCAACGATCTTACACACACACATCACCTGAGGAATTCCAACACTTTAAATCCACAGTTCTTGATTGCTTTCATCAGATTACTAGTTCAAAATCTAGCTCGAATAATCTTCTGACTAAAAAGCATATAGACCAGCTTAAAGAACTAGAGAAGAATGATGATATTATCATATGCCGTCCAGACAAAGGTGAGGGCGTTGTAGTTATGAATCTGTTATGTACTGCTGCTGAGCGAGTTATTAGTGGTTTTCCCCGTCGCCAATTATGTTGTTTATTCGTCGAGTAGTTAATAGTCCTGACGCGGAAAGAGGGAAATCAGAAAACCACCAGGTTTACGATGATACTTGTATTTTCCAGACAAGGAAAATAAATGTCACACAAGAGTGTGAGTAAAATGGTACGTACGTACGAAACGTGGGAACCAGTATATACAAAAGTGTACAAAGCAAGAGTATATATGGAAATAGCTAATACACATGAACCAATAAGATAACGTCTTACCATGATTGGTTGTAATGTCATGTGACAACAAGGTCATACATGTTTATTTAGTTAGTGGACAGACAAAAGCATATTGTCAGTTATAATGAAATATCGATCCATATACACATAGCAAAATATAATAGACTGTCAAAAACAAAACACACATTATGTGGATACATATCAGAATCGCCAAGATTATAATGATAAAATCTCAGCGATCCTATCTGATCAAACGAAATTCGCCAAACCCGATGGTGAAAAGAACAAGACACATTTAACTGAAAATCAACTGACTGATGTCTTGAAGAACATAAGGAATAAGTCAGCAATATCCCCAGAAATATATGAACGCATCCAACCAGTAGGCTCTATTATACCACGTTTGTATGGACTATCGAAAATACATAAGACAGGATTACCCCTCCGTCCAATCCTCGATATGGCGGGTTCTCCTTATCACGAAATCGCTCAATGGCTAGCCGAAATATTGGAACTAGTCAGAAATACCTAAGTTTTCCATTGATGATACGTTTAAATTTATTGATAGTATTAAAGATTTTCATGTCTCAGACAAAGTCCTGTTCTCATTAGATGTGACGTCGCTATTTACCAATGTTCCTCTCATGGAAACTGTTCGCTATTTATGTGATTATATTGATACACATAATTTGGAAATAGGTTTACCGACAATCCACCTCAAAGAGCTTTTATTGAGATGTACGTTGAATGTTCAGTTCATCTTCAACAATGAGATATATAGACAGAGAGATGGTGTCAGCCACGTCTCGTAAACCGTTAATGCCCAGCTCTTGCTACGCTCGGGCTCACGCTGTTCCTTGAAGTTTTTCAGAAACGCTTAGTAATAACGGACGCAAAAACCAAAACACCGATTGGCCGCTCGAGAATTCTTTATTGTAACACCAACATATAAAAAACAATTCCACTAAGGTCTGTGAACAAATATTACAATAATAAATCACAAGATTACTTCTGACGGTTTACTGCTGACTTCTTTCTGAACAGCGACCGATGAGACGATGACTGTCGTATTGATGCCTCCGCGAAAATTGGGGAAGTTGATTTTGAGCAAACAACCGTGAATTGATCGTTCAATCTTCAACTACATTGACACTCCCCGGCAAAAAAGGATCTATTCCTTTTTTCCATCACGACCAATACACGTTGACTTGGATGCCATTGCGAGAACCTGGGTCACTTGGACAGAGCTGAAATGGAAAACAAA